CTTGGCGATATTTAGGTGGAACTACTCGGCATCTTGCTTTTGAAAACCAGCCTCCCTCACCTGGTACGAGACAATCTGCTATAGTACTGCAATTAAAAACTCCTCATCCCAAGGCTGCCGTTTGGTTTCTCTTCCCACCAGTGGCTCCTCTACAGCCAGAGAGACAGAGGGCACGTCTGAAGGTCCTCTCTGCTACTCTGCTGCACCTTTGAGGAGATTTACAGGATTTGCACGTGTTTTTCTCACTCAAACAGAGATGATGTGGCCTGATTAAGAGATATTCTAGGAAAGACACTACTGGCTTCAACAAGCTTCTTGATATTCCCTTTGTTTGATATAACACACATCAGTTATTAACGGGAATGTATAAGCTGCTCCTTAGCCTCAGTAATGCCATGTTTAATAACAAACATTTCTCCTCTCCCCTCTCTGCAATGGCAGCCATTGTCCAGTGATTTGTGGACGGATTATTCTATATCAATATATAAAATTTATATACATGTATATATATACACCATCTGCCCTTCCATGTGTAAAGAAATGGGAGAGCTGAGACCAGGTAAATAAGGTAAGTTACAGCTCTCCCTGTACCGTGGGAGATGGAAATGCAAGGACTTTCTGGGTCACTGAACCCAGAACCTTGTGACCATACTGTGAGACTGCTTACAGAAACTGACATTGCTCTACTAAAAAAACGGAAAAAAAATAACGAGAGACACTGTCTGAGTAGAGATCCACAATACTACCGGTTCAAAAATAAAATCTGACACTTTTGGAAAAAAAAGTCTCAGAAGCTGCTCCCATTTCACTCTGGGTGGACCTCTCCTACATTTGCAATGCAAGGAAACCTGAGAAAAAAACCTGCTCTGCCTTTCAGCAGGGTGACAGTAGGAAGGACACAGAGGAACCACAAAGGAAGGTGCCTGCTCAGCAGATCGTGCTAAGGAACGGACAGGCTGCACACATATCCTTGAAATCCGTACCAGTCACAGCATCCATGCCAGTTGTATGTCTGTGGCTTCATGGATGCCAGAGCAGAGGAATCTGCAGAAATCAGCCCAACATCTGGGCCTGGCCCATCAGACACGCCTGCCATAAACCTCCAGCCTTCCCACCAGGCAGCTTCAAAGCTGTTGTTGCAAAGGGAAGCAGTGCTGTCTATGGTCAGCTCCTTTCTCCTTTGCTGGCAGACTCACCTCCAGTCCTATGGGAAGAAAGAAACTGAGACAGAAACCAGTGCGTGACACGATTGTCTCTCCTTTCCATAACCTCATCAGGGTTGTGACAGTCAGCCACCATACCGAAAGAGGGCACTGGGGACAGCAAGACCATGCTCTCCTCCACCCAGCCCAGCTCCCAGAGCACACAGCTCTTGGGGATTCACTTACTGACCATTTCAGCA